AAAAAAAAAAAAAATACTCAGTGTTCACCCTTAGAAAGAGGTAATCAAGTTCATGTTGATAGTAATCGAAGGAATTCTACTCCTCTTGTTAAATTACTCAGTAATGTAACCATGGGTGGCGAGGGCTTGTCTGGGGAAACTCCGTTTCCAGCGGGAAAGGAACGTTCCTGAGGGTAACAGAACGCGGGACGTACAGGTTTTAAGTAGAAATGAGGGGAACTTTGTACTGTCCAGTTATCTAAGGAACAATAAAGACAGTAGGAGATTACTGTTCCCTTTGTCATTCCTGAGGCTTTGGAAGGGACGGAGACTCCGGCCCCTTGTGACGTATTCCAGAGTCTGGGCGGTCCTCTGCCCCGGAGGACACACGCTCTCCACGGGTCTCTAACCCCCATCCCCCCACCACCGCCACCAAAAGCCTGAGAACCGGCCTGGGGCTCCACGCCCCCTGGGGTGAATCTGAATGCGGGGCTGCACCACGGGACCCCACCTCGGGGTCTCCTCCAGGGACATCTCTGGACGCAGTGAGGGACAGAGAACCTTGCGCATCCGAGGAGCCCAGGCCAACTCACAGGTGCCTGTCGATGCGGAGGGGGGCCCGGCCACACCCCCCACCCCACATCCCTTCCTGCTTTCTTGTTGCTGCCGGAACCCCAGCGTTCTTCTGCCAGGGAGCTCAGAGAGGCCCTGACCGGTGACATCAGGAGAGGAGGGGCGGGCAGAGGGATGCCAGCTCCTTAATTAGATCCTCGTCCCCACGAGCAAGACGGCTGTCACACCACTGCAGGACGCAGGACGAGCTTGCAGGGAAAGCTGGTCAAAGGGGGAGGCAGGGTCACACTTTCACGTTTTCACAGGTCTTCTGGGAGTGAGGCATCCAAACTCGTCCCCGTGACGGGTGGGAGCCGGTCATTCACGTAAGAGCCCCAAGTTTCGGTCAAGCGGTAATTCAGCCTCCAAGGCCCCTGCTGGTTCCTGGTGTGACACGAGCCCGTCCAAGCTCATCAGGCAGAGGCTGTTCCGTAATTACAGCTGCAATTATGGGCCAGCTTCTTGGGACCGTCCCCTAATGACAGAGGGGCCGGCAAATGTACAAATACCTGTTCTGAGTTCCAGGAACAAAATAATGACCCGAGAGGTCCAGAATGGATTTGCTGTCTCCGACTGAGTATTTGCTAGGGAAAATATTCCTCCAGGATATTAAATACGCAAGAAAAATGGTTCCATCCAGAAAGCAAATAAAACAACCGGCCAGCCACTAAATCTCCCAGATTCCAATAACTGAATATATTGGCTGATGGCAGGACATCTGTGGATGAATTTTCTTTATTAAAAGTCTGGCATGGCATCAAAACCCACGGCTCTTTGGGGGAACTCGAGGCCACGGCAGGAGACACCCAGTTCTGAGTGCGGCTGGGCCCGGGGCTTTCCCATTTCCGAAGTCCGTGATGGTTGACCCCACGCGCCTGTCCGTGGAATCTTCTGTGGCTCCCATAGACCCACGGGGTCCTGTAGACCAGGTGGGGGGAGGACGCCCACTCTCCAGCAAGCCAGCTGGAAGGGGGTCACGGCTGCGGGGGCGGAGGTCATCTCTGGCTCTTGGGAAGCACGGGGGCGCCATGCAGACGCCGGGTCACATCCGTGAGCAGGGTCAGAAAGGAAGGGCAGGGGCGCCTGGGTGGCGCAGTCGGTTAAGCGTCCGACTTCAGCCAGGTCACGATCTCGCGGTCCGTGAGTTCGAGCCCCGCGTCAGGCTCTGGGCTGATGGCTCGGAGCCTGGAGCCTGTTTCCGATGCTGTGTCTCCCTCTCTCTCTGCCCCTCCCCCGTTCATGCTCTGTCTCTCTCTGTCCCAAAAATAAATAAAAAACGTTGGAAAAAAAAAAATTTAAAAGGAAGGGCAGTGATGATTGCAGATCACTGAGCACACGAGACGGGGGTGGATGGTGGTCCTTTACTGGAACGTTCAACTGCATTCTCTTTGGAGGTTCCAAGGGGAACTCGAGCACAGACCACATTGGAAGCTGATGTTGGCACCCGCCCCGCCCCCACGTGCCCCTCTGACCTCACACGCACCCTGGAGATAAGGCAATGCTCCCTGTCTCCAGATCGGGGGCCTTGGGCTCCAAGAGGCCCAGTCGTCTCTCGGGGCAGCTGACCTTCCAACCCCCAAAACGGTGTCCACGTGCACAAGACGGTGAGGACCTACACGAAGGGAGGCATCTGAATGTTCCAGGCTCTTACAGGTCCCTGGAGAGGCTGAGTGGACGCTGGGGAGGGGCTGAGCCGAGGTTTGGACGCCGAGCGGTTCCTCGGGAGGAAGTGAACCCCCCCCAGAGGCCGGAGGGGGATTTGGGTCGGATCCTTGCTCAGCCCCCTAGCTGGCGTGGCTCCGAGAGACGTGGCAACTTTCACTGAAAGAATCAAGGCCAGGAGGAAGTGGCCGTGGAAACTTGGGTGCCACAGGGCGGGAGGCTGGATTCCCCGGGTGCACCGGAGGGGGCTTTCCGGGGCCTGAGGAGCCGGGAGCCCGACGGTCCATCCGATGCTGAGCGCGTTGGGCCTGGCGGAGCAGAGCTTTCTCAGTGTGAAGGGGCCACGGCAGATCCACTCACCATCGGGTAAGGTGTCCCTCCCTTGGTGGCCCAGACCTGCAGTACTGAGGAGACCGTCTGGAGAGAACAATCTCCATTTCCTGAATAAGTTGTTTCCGGAAGGGTCTCCTGTAATTTCATTTTAATAAATGTACTGTTAGAGATTGTTTTCACAGGCTGTGAGGACAGGGAGTCCTTCGGAGCCAATAACGAGGAGAGGCCTCACCCACACCCCCTCTTATACGAAAGGCGCCCCGCCTCTACTAGATTCCCCTGCCCCCTTGCTGTCCTCGTGTAGCAACTTCTCCTGAAGGCGACATTGGGAGCACAGAACTGTGCCCTGCTGCTTTGCACTGCCGTGTGACGTCCCATCGCGCAGAGGTGACACAAAGTGCTTAAGTCCAGACATTTTGCCAGGACTCTAAGAGCGCGGTGAGGTCCTGCCTTCTGAGGGATCCTTGGGAAACCCCCCTCCCGCGTGGTGCCGCACCACGTGCGTTTTGCAGACGCCGACCCCGGAGAGCAAGGAGCAGCCGGAACCCGCTGCCGAGTGGCAGGCTGGCCCTGAACCCGGGGCCACCGGGCCCTGCGCGCCACGCTCCCCGCCCTCGGCTTGCCCGTTGGCACGCACAGCATGTGTGAGTCACCGGAAGCTTGTTCATCACCCAGCAGGCAGCAGAAGGTGCCAGAACGGTGTGCCTGGTCCTCCAACCCCGGGGGCTGGTGAGTCACTGCTGCAGGGTGGCGGGGGGAGGGAAGGGACAGGGGTCTGTCCGGAGGGGGGGGGGGGGCGGCTGGCAAGTAGGGGAGCAGGACCTCCCTCTGGGTGCCCGTCATCCTGCTGCCCCAGCACACGCGCCTCCACACACGTGTGCACGTATGGGTGTGCAAAGCACACGTATGCACACATGCGCACACACACGCACACCCTGGTTAATTCTAAGCCCCTGCAGGCTAGCGCCCGGGACCCGTCTCCGCCATGACAAAACGGGGGTGGTCACTCGCCCGGCCCCCTTCCAAGGGAGACTCCGCCCAAAGGACTTCGTCCACCGGCCCCGCCTTCCCAGCCTCCCGGCCCGCCCCAGCCCTGCGCCATCACATCCACGCATCCACGGAGGGGCTCCACCTTGCCTCCACCGCCCTTCGGGGCCTGGGCTCCCTGGCCTGACGCGGG